CTCGCGATTCATGCAGTACGCACGCCTCAGCAGCACGCCTTCTCGACCTGGCCGCTTGGGCCCGCCTTCCCGACCTGGGCGTCAGGGTCTACCCGCCCGATGGGCCCTTCTGATTATGCCACGTCTTCTCTGCTCCTAGCTCCCCTTCTGCTAATGCCGTGTTTCACTCTATTCCCTCCCCCGTCCATCCCTCCTCTCTTCCCCTGTTTCAGGGGCTGCACCAATTACACGCGGCAGGTAAGGAAGATATGCCCTCAGGGGGACACGATCGACGACGAAGAGGGCGGGTACCGAGGATTTGGGATATACGTGCTGGATGGCACGCGAGCAGGGCAGAGCGAACAGTCTGAAACTGAGTGGTGGTGGTGTTGGTGTTGGTGCTGATGTTATTGTTGTGGTTGGTGTTGATGTTGTGTTTGCTGCTGTCGTTGCTGTTGATGTTGTTGTTGCTGCTATTGTGGGGGCGTTGGTGTTGTGATTACTGTTGGTGTTGTCGTCGTCGCTGATGTTGTTGTTGTGGTGGTTGTTGTTGTTGTCGTCGTCGGCGTCGTTGTTTTTGTTGCTGTTGTTGTGTTGTCGTGTGTGTTGTTTGTGTTGTTTGTTGTTGTCGTCCCACCCGCGACCCGGCCCGCGACCAACCCGAGACCAACCCGCGGCCCACCCGTGACCCACCCGCGATTCACCCGCGACTCACCCGCGACCCACCCCACGACCCACCCCGCGACCCACCCGCGACCCGCCCGCGACCCACCCCTGCGACCCCGTCGTGACCCACACGCTACCCACCCGCGACCCACCCGCGACCCACCCGCGACCCACCCGCGACCCACCCGCGACCCGACCCGCGACCCGGCCCGCGACCCACCCGCGACCCGGCCCGCGACCCTCCCACATTGTTTGTTCGAAAGAGTCCGCGCTTGCGGCGGGTGTCGGGCGCTTTCTAGTCTTGCCGTTCGGGACACGCTATACGTGCTCGGGTCGGTCAAGCACCTCCAACAGGAGCACATAATACTGGAATGTCCCTCTGCGTCCCATGGCAGAAGGAGGAGGAGGCGAGAGAAGGCGAGCGCAGCCGTGGTCGTTGTAAAAACACGCGGGTCGTCGTCTGCGTGGTCCGCCCAGGCCAGGGACACTTCTCGCTCGGCCTCGTCAGCGCGCCCGGCGAGCCGTTGCAGTGGCAGGCGCCCTGCCGGGGTTGTGTGGCTGGCTCCGCTCCTGTGGCGGCCTGTCGCACGGGTATGCAACCGATCGGGCCCTCCTGGGAGGGAGGACGAGGCTGGAGGACCTGGAGTAGAGGGAGGAGGAGGAGGAGGAGGAGGAGGAGGAGGAGGAGGAGGAGGAGGAGGAGGAGGGGGAGGAGGAGGAGGGAGGAGGAGGAGGAGGAGGAGGAGGAGGAGGAGGAGGGGGAGGATGGTGAGGAGCAGGAGGAGGAGGAGGAGGAGGAGGAGGAGGAGGTGGACCTCTTCGTCTCGTCCTCCTCGTCTCTTCCTCCTCGCCTCCTACTTCCTCCTCGTCCCCATCACCCTCTTCGTCGCAGAGCTGGCGACGTGGGCCCGTGAGCTGACGGGCATGCGGCAGAAGCTGGAGGGATGCTCTCGGGGGTCGCGAGGCTCGAGGTTCGAGGGAGTCTCCGTCGTCACCCCTTCTGCCTTGGGACAGAGGGGCAAGAAGTGATGAGAATGATGCGCTCCAAGATTTCCGAGACTTGGCGGCGAGCGAGAGGGGTAAGCGAGAAGGAGAAGGTTTCCTCAGAAGGCGGCGGGACTTCTCAGAAGCCCTCGCGCCTTCTGAGAGGTGTCTTGCGTCCTCGGGGGAAGGCCTATAGAAACCCTTCTCAGGAGGCCCGGGGACTTCCGAGACCTCTGGGAAGGCCCGCGCCCCTGCGGGAAAAAAACACACTGTGGGAAAAACACACACACACTGTGTGTGTGTGCGTGTGTGCGTGCGTGCGTGTGTGCGTGTGTGCGTGTGTGCGTGTGTGCGTGTGTGCGTGTGTGCGTGTGTGCGTGTGTGCGTGTGTGCGTGTGTGCGTGTGTGCGTGTGTGCGTGTGTGCGTGTGTGCGTGTGTGCGTGTGTGCGTGTGTGCGTGTGTGCGTGTGTGCGTGTGTGCGTGTGTGCGTGTGTGCGTGTGTGCGTGTGTGCGTGTGTGCGTGTGTGCGTGTGTGCGTGTGTGCGTGTGTGCGTGTGTGCGTGTGTGCGTGTGTGCGTGTGTGCGTGTGTGCGTGGTGTGCGTGTGTGCGTGTGTGCGTGTGTGCGTGTGTGCGTGTGTGCGTGTGTGCGTGTGTGCGTGTGTGCGTGTGTGCGTGTGTGCGTGTGTGCGTGTGTGCGTGTGTGCGTGTGTGCGTGTGTGCGTGTGTGCGTGTGAGCGTGTGTGCGTGTGTGCGTGTGTGCGTGTGTGCGTGTGTGCGTGTGTGCGTGGGTGCGTGTGTGCGTGTGT